TTGTAGGGACTGACAATATTCTGAGATTTTTGTTTTGTGTTTTGAGACAAGGTCTCTCTATTATGTAGCCCTGGCTGTCCTGGAACTCACTTTGCAGACCAGCTTGGCCTCGAACTCATAGAGATCTGCCTGTCTTTGCCTCCTAACTGCTGAGATTACAGGTGTGTATCACTACACCCAGTCCAATTCTGATGTTTCTGACAGAAACACAAATAAAAGCATCAATCAGGAGGTTATCCAGTCAAGAAGAATTCACAGAAGAGAAGAGAACTTCTGTAAAAGGAGAACGCTCACCCAGGTTTTCCCTTTTAAACTCCACCTGCACTGGTGCGTCCACCCTAAGAGGGGATGTTTCTTTTGTTAGTAGTGCTATTTTCCGTCACATCTACACAGCGGTCATACAAAAAGAGTATTAACAGGGGCTTGGGCTTATTCTCATAAAGTCTCAAGTGCCAAGTGCCCAGGACCCCTGTTTGTGATGGATCACTCAAAAGGGATGCCATGTATAAATCCTGTTATTTGGGTCTGGAATGTCACCCCGAGGCTACAGGTATGAGAGAGAGGCTTGGTCCCTAGCTTGCTGTTACTTGCTGTGAGATATTTGATTACACATGTCAAGATATGTCATTGTGATTGGATTAATACAAAGCTAAATGGCCAATAGCTAGGCAGGAGGTATAGGTGGGACTTCTGGGCAGAGAGAGGAGGTTGGATGAATCTAGGCATGGAGAGATACCAGAGGGGATGGATAAGAAGCAGGACATACGAGAGGCACGGTAAAAGCCATGAGCCACGTGGCAGCACGTAGATTAACACAAATGGGTTAATTTAAAGTTGTAAGAGCTAGTTAGAAACAAGCCTAAGCTAAGGCAAAGCTTTCATAATTAATAATAAGTCTCCATATTGATTTTGTGAACTAGCGGCCCAAAGAAAAATCCATCTACAGCTACTGGGGGATGATGAAACCCTTAAGAAATGGATGGGAGTGGGGCAAGGGTGGGATCTGAGGGAAGAGAGGAACTTCATTAATTATGTAATTAAAATACATGTAAAGAAGCGGGAGCTACTTAGAGGCCTTTGGGTCACAGGAGGCGGCCCTCAGAGGGGACACTAGGTCACTGGCAGCCTCCGCTTTCTCCTCTCTTTTCATCACATCTCTGGAAGAGGTCACGTGTTTCTGTCCGGATATATTGCCTCCCACCCAACAGCTCAACAACTGGTCCGACCTGCGGGCGAGGACCCCTAGAACTGTGAGCCAACATAAGCCTTTGTCTTCGTAAAGTTGATGGCCGTGGCGGAAGGCTGACTAATACACAACCTTTGCTCGAATTCCACAGTCATCATGGATGTGAAGGGAAACAAACCAAAGGCTTGGTTTAATGTCCACCGGGGTGGGCTTTCCCTGGGCTATGAAGACGTTCAGGATTCCCGCCTCTGCGACGTTCAGCTTCTCTCACAGGGTCTCACGAATTCATCAGCTCCTCAGTTGTAGGGAGCCGCTATTATGGCGCTGGCTTCCTGGTAGCCTAGCTGTAAACAACTCCATATTTGGCTATGATGCACGAGTATGGTAATTGGCCTTATGTCCTCAGCCTATCCCGTGGCTCCCCGTGTTCGCATTCTGGCTGGACCCAATCACAGTACGGCACGTTTGCCTGATTCCCTATATAAGCAGCTGCAGTTTAGTCCTTGGGGCCCCTCACCTCCCGCTCTCCCTTAATCAAGAGGCGCTCCAATAAAGTGTGTTCTGAGATGGATCCTCGCATGGTGGTCGTTCTTCCTCACTGGCCGAGGAGCGCGCCGCACTCAGTTGATGGTACTTCATTGGCACAGCTTCTGCTGGGCTTAAAGAGCCTCTAGGACAGTGCTTCTCAACCTTCCTATCCCTGCGACCCTTTCATACAGTTCCTCACGTTGTGGTGACCCCAACCATAACATTATTTCCATTGCTACTTCATAACTGTAATTTTGCTGCTGTTGTGAATCGCAATGTATATTATATCTGTAAATTATATTTGAACAATATCTGTGTTTTCCAATGGCCTTAGGCGACCCTTGTGAAAGGGTTGTTCGACCCCCAAAGTGGTCGCAACCCCCATGTTCAGGACCACTGCCCCTTAGAGTCAGATGAAAACCTTTTCTGGAACTCACTCTGTAGCCCAGGCTGGCCTCGAACTCACAGAGATCTGCCTGCCTCTGCCTCCCGAGTGCTGGGATTAAAAGCGTGCACCACCACTGCCCGGCTGCTCCAGTCTGTCTTTAAAAATAGTTTCAACCACATGCTTGTGGACATACCAATATGTAACATAAACTAAGGAATGTTCCTATGAGACTATTACTACACTGTGTTGCAAGACTTAGATCAGGCATTAAGGGTGTCTTCATAGCAATCCTTTGAGGAAGGTATTTATTATTCTAATTTCTACAAGTTCTACAGCATAGAGCCTGGAATCAAGAGCTAGTCATGGTGGAGCCTAGTTTTGTCCCAAGCCAGTGATACCCTAGCCAGTGTCCTCAAGGATGAAATCGCACCGCCTCCCACACAGTGGAAATTGTGATTTAAATAAACGGGTTTATCTCTATGGACTCAAAGCATCTCTTATAATAGCACCTTGTCTACTAACTCCCAAGACAAAGGAAGGCTGCTGTGGTGGTCTGGATGAGAAACATCCGGCAGAGGCTTAGGGGTTTGAACACTTGGTCCCCAGTTCATGGTGCTGTTTGGAGAAGTTATGGGACCTTTAAGAGGTTCAGCCTTGTTGGAGGAAGCAGAGCACCGGGGTGGGCTTCGAGGGTTTAGAGCTTCACTCAATCCCCACCTGCCTCCCCCTCCCACTTCATGTTTGCGGCTAAAGAAGTGATTTCTCAGTTTCCTACGCGAGCCGACCAGCTGCCATGCTTCCCCGCCATCACCAAGTGCCGCTTTGGGACTGTAAGCCAACGGCAACTCTTCTGTGAGTGTTTTTATCCACAGGGACAGAAAAGCAGCGGACACAGGTGCCCACCTACCGGCCCTGCTGTGGTGTGCGGGGGTGGGGAGAGGGGGTGGGGTGGGGGTCAGTCATCCCCAGTGCTGCTTCAACACTTACAGGAGGTCCGCCGGAGTCGTTCTTCACTGCCTTCCATAGTTTTTGAGGGCCCCGAGGAATGTGAACCTCTATTTTCATTTGTCATTGAGAACAAAGGCTGAGTTGTAACCTTCCATGCACGGCCTCCGTCCCAGCCTGGACACTGTCCAAAGTTCAGCGTTTGCAGAGTCCTTTGAACCAGCAACGTTCAGTCGATTCACTTGGACTCTTTCTTGTGCACAGTTTGCACAACTCATATGTGAGCACTGGAGCATTTTAAAAGCACGTGTTTGGGCCAGCGAGATGGTTCACTGGGTATGGTGGGTAATGGCGCTTGCTGCAAAACCTGACAATCTGAGTTCGATCCCCAGAACCCGTAGAGTGGAAGCAGGGAACCAACAACCTCAAGGTCCTCTAACCTCCATCACACACACAACATCACACACATACAGTTGTTTAAATGTACTATGATTTAAAGAATTACCAAAACATTTGTAAATGAATCTATAAGTTCAGTTTTGAAACTTGTGCTAGTGAATTTCCCCTCTGAAAACGTAAGTCCATTTAGAATAAACAGAAAGCTAGACTATCCAGCAACTCTCATAACTAAACTTTCTTCCCTTGGACTGGCAAGTGATGTCCTCAGTGTCCTGACGGCCTTCCTCAGAGGCTGCCCTGATGTAATTACGCAGATGAATATCAGCCATGCCTACAAGCTGCAAGAGGGCAATAATTACGAGCTATTTGTTCAAGGGCAAAACAAAGGAGTGAATCCCCTCAAACGCGTCTCTCTAGTCAGGGGTACACTCGGCAGGGGATGGATGGTCCTGCTCCCTGGGGAAACTGTGGCAGAGTCCGGAGCTTGCGGATTAGCAATGTGGCTGCCTGGACACTTGGTACCTGCAGAGTAGAAACCACAGATCCACTAACACCTCGTGACGCTCAGGACAACCCCTGCACAAAGTCAACGGTGGCAAGAGAGAGGGTCCCATCTGGAGGCAGGGATGCCCTAAGTGGACAAGAAAGGACAGAAGCGAAGCGGCTCTCAGAGCAGGCAAATGTTGTGACACAACACCCACTGATGTCTACTACGGAAACTTCTTTTTTAACCGCCAAATTGGAGATCCCAGGTGGTCATTCTCATCTCACAGCTCATTTCACTCTCTTGGCCTCAACTCGATAACATCTTTGGACTTTCTGAGGTCACCCTTTACAGGCTGACCCATAGCCCAGAATAACCCAAAGAAGGAGACTTTCATCAGTAACAGTGGCGTTATGTTTTATTGTGGGTCATGGCTCATAATACACAATTCAGCTAGAAGGGAAAGACACAAAACATTTGAGATGACTGGCAGGCAAAAACTCTAAATATGCTCCAGCACAAAAGGGGATTAAAATGTCACGGGATTTTTTTTCTCTTGAAAACGGAATGGCTTATGAATGCTCCATTCTTTCTGGAACAGTTAAAACACTATGTGCAGGCTGTCTGGGTTCACAAGGCAGGGCAGGCTTCTCTTTTGTTCTGTTGCTCACCCCGAGAAGACTTTCCCTGGTGTACTTGGGCCCAGGGGTGGTGAGAAGTGTGGAGGGGGGGCGGGCAGGATTTCATTGACATGATGAATCTGTGTCCTGTATGTCCTTCCTTTTGGAGTGGGGACCCCCTGAGACTGGGACAGGAGAGGCTGGGCAGGCGTGGCTGACCCTGGCGAGAGCATCTGCTTAAAATATCGGTGTCATCTACTACCTGAAAGCTGATTTGTCCGAGGCTCAGGGTAGCCAGCTCTTGCAATGGTGGGGGATGCGGAATGATGGACGGGGGTGACTCACAGACAGTCTTCTCTGCCAGGTGGCATGAGTCACGGAGTGGGTGTGTCTGCTTGGGGCCGCTTCGTCAGCTGCCCTCTATCATTTTCTCTCTGGTGTCTAGTGTGTCCAGGGGACTCACACTGAGCTGGTAGCTCTGTGTGCAGGCTGTGGTTTCCAGCCTGTCTATTAGACCTGACCGACCAGGCACTCAGGGGACAACACGTGTATCTTTCTTGACAATCTGCAAATGACCTCGGCTCTCTGGGTGAGAAAACAATTAGCTCCAAAATGAACAAGTCATCACCTGTTTGCATGTTGCTGGAGGATAAGGTCTGACTGCCCTGGCATACCACACCTTGAACGCACTCTTTCTCTGTTTCTTTCTCTCTCCCTCGCTCTCGCTCCGCCCTCTGTTTTTCCAGGGGTAATTTATAAGTCCTGTCTGAAAGGTCGGAGTCCAGTTCCTCCCCATGCTTCCGCAGTCTTTACTGCATCCTCGCAAGCACGGCACCTGTCTCCTGAAGAGCAAAGGAAGCTGCAGGTACGCATCCCAGGGGCTGAGGTCACTGGGTGGCAGCTCCATGCTGCCTGGGTTCACATGAGAAAAACCATTTCCCTCTCCAGGCTCTCTCTCTAGGAGGAGATGGCACAGCCAAGGAAAGTTCCATAAGGAAATCAAGTCACGTGACTGAGGGCCTCAAAATGGGAGGGGTCCAAAACCTGGTTCCACAGTTGACTGGTGAAACCCTGATGAAGTCACTCGGCTTCCTGGAGCCCGGATGCCCAGCTTTTATGAGGATTATAGCATCCCCATGAAGCAGGGTTTCTCCACAGTGACTCTTGGATTCACGTAATCCTTCCTGTGTAGGGGGAAGGGAGTGTATGGAATCTGGTACACTATAGTCCTCCACCCATTCTCCACAGTTTACACTATTGAAAAAATACCTGTAATACGGCCACATATTTCCCTGAAGTGGAAATGACCCCTGTTTGAGATTGCAAACGAACCCTGTGTTCTTTAAAACATCACTGACTCGGAAACTTCACTTTTACTCTGAATCATTCGGGGGACACAGAGAAAATAGCCGTGGGTGAAATGAGAGACGCCCCCTAGAAAATAGGTATTGGGACAAAACGCAAGCGACTAGGTCCTCCATTGGAGAGCCTTTCCCAGCCACAAGCCTTGCAGGTTTTAGACTCTGCTTGATCCTGGTCAGGGGGTAGGGGCAGGTCTGAGTCATGACTTGTGGGGGCTTAATGAGAAAATGTCTAACAGTGCGCGGAATGCCATCTACAAGTGCTCACACAACCACAAAGAATTAGTACCATGTAGCCAGGGAACATGGAATGCTGCCCAGGCTGTTTCTTCATATCTGGGGCCAAAGTCACATTGTGGGACTAGCACTCAGTCAGATGAATCAGCCAGGACCAGCCGCGTGCCAGCAAGAATGAGAGAATCCAGAGCAGTGGAATGTGTCAAATGCATCTTGTAGCTGTTATGAACTGTGGTGTTGGCCCTTTCTCTGGCTTTAGGGGAACACATTTCAGGACTGCCAAGTGGATGCCCGAAACCATGGTCAGCACAGATCACTAGACATACTGCGTTTGCCTTTAAGAAGGTTTGATTTATCAATTAGTCACACTAAGAGATAACTGCTAACAATAACAATGGAATCGTTATGCAATCATACTCTGTAATAAGACTTGTGTGAATTCAGGTTCTTTCGATTCATATCTCTCAAATATTTTCCATTGAATTTTCATCTCTTTGCCTAGTGGAAGCACTATACAGGGTTTGGGCACACCCCAAATGCCAGCACTGAGCCTCACTTTTCTTGGGTTACCAGGCCACAGGCTAGAGGGGCAGCCCACCATTCTGAGAGCTCTGGCTATTCTGGCAAAGGACCTAGGTTTGGTTCCCAGCACCCACATGGCAGTTTACAACCATCTGTAACTCCAGTTCCAGGTCTCTGACACCCTCTTCTGGCCTCCATGGGCACTGCACACACAGAGTACACACACACATCCATGCAGACAAATACTCAAACATATAAATTAAAAATACATCTTTTTGAAAAAGAAGAGAAAATGTTATTTGAAAATAGTGTGATAACTCTGCCATCCACTCCGTGTCTAACAGCCCCTGAGAGGACAGAGCAGGACAGCACAATATTTTAGCATGTTCCTCTATCTGAAATGAACAAGGAGGGTCTACCATCCACCCACAGATTTTTTTGGATCTCCTCATCATGGAGTGGTGGATCTGTGCTAGTTTTTTTCACTAGAGGCCGAGGTTGTTTACACTCACTGCAAATGACTTATGTAACTCCCAAGGCCAGACTGTGTATTTTCAAGTGGTTCACTCCCAAAAGGCAGTCTCCAAGCCAGAAGGGGAAAAGCCTAAGCAGCTAGAGAGGGCCCCCGAACTGCTGGGCAGCAGCCTCTACTGTGATCCCGACTGACCATCAGGTGCCTTTACTGCCTGTGTTGGGAGGAAAGGAGGCTTTGGAGGATCCCAGGACTTCATCAGCCCCACCTCCAGGTCTTTCCAGATCAGGAAACAGGTGGTACGGAGAAGAGACCAGCCATCCGCCATCTCTTCCAAATTCCTGAGCCACAGAAACCATGAGTTTGATAACACAGACGTTTAGTGTTACTAACTTTGGGGTGGTTTTTCATACGGTTGGACCCCTCCTCCTGGAATTCAACCCTGCTGCCGGAAATGTGTTTGGGGGGTGGGCAGGACCCGACTGGGATCAGCTCACACAGCTACAAGGGGTGTCTACAGGTCTTTCCCCCACACAGGAAGTGCACGGGGTATGGTTTCTCAAGTCCAGAGCAATTTACAGCAGGAAAGAATTTCGTTTGCCTTGGAGCACAGAGAAGGATGCTAAGTGTGAGCTTCGAGAGAAACACTCCCTTGGTTAAGGTGTGGGCCCTGAGCAGTAGGTTACTGGGCCAGGAGCACCCTGCTCTGGAGTACCACCTACAGTAGTGGTCTCTAGCTCTTCTTAGAAGAGGACGAGCAGAGTTCCAGGCGAATGAGCGCGGCTGTGACCTGCCTGAGGAGGGAGCTGCGGTCTGACTCAGCAGAACCTGCTGGCCCTCTTCTCTGCAGACAGACCTGTCTTAAAGATTAAAGACGGTCTGTGCCTGAGGGAAGTGGTGGCAGGCTGCTTTCGAAACGAGAGTGAAGAGTCTGGAGTGCACCACAGAGATGGAAGTGCATTGTGGGTAATCCAGCAACTTCTGGGCGTTAACTGAGCCGTTCAGTTCTCCACTGTGCCTTCCTCTCCCATGAAGCACACAAACTGTCCCCCCTAGGGCTCTTCAGTCATTTCATTTAATTTGGATTTAACCCGCAGCTAGATTCAAAATACAAATTAAAATTCAGTCAGCGCAGTAAAACTTCATATTAACAGCTCTTATAAAAATCCTGCATGAGTATTTTTCATTCTGTATCAGTAGGGCAGCTTGCCTGAGGCTAGTATGTGTGATTTCACACTTCATAAAGTATTTAAACATCTTGAAATGACTTCTGAAAGAGTTCACATTTGAAATTCTTTCTTCATAAAATGCTGACTAACTGTTTGCCAATTAGTGAGTGAGAGGCTCCTATAGGGACATTCGTTAATTGGTGTATTTACAGATTCATCTTATAGTTCCCAGCTATTTCAAACAAGGTGGACCAATTTAACTGGTGTTTTGGTTAATCTGCATCCCCCCTCTTAGATTTATTTAACTTCATTTTGTGTGTGTGTGTGTAGGAGTGTTTGCCTGCATGCATATATGTGTGCCATATGCACGAAGTGCCCATGAAGCCTGAAAGAGGGCATCATCAAGCTGGAGTTGAGAGCCATCATGTAGGTGTTGGGAATTGAACCCGGGTCCTCTGGAAGAGCAGCCAGTGCTCTTAACTGCTGGGTTATCTCTCCAGCCCCTATGTCCTACCTCTTTATTGCCACAGTTAAGATCCATGTCTCTCACGATATCTCAAGGGAGCTGTAGTAGATAACCGTGAGCAACAAAGACAGTGGCCGTATAATGGAAAAACACAAGCTTTGGACAGGCAGCCCAGGTCAACACCTGGCTGGGCTGGTCCTTTAAGCGTAACTTGACACATTTCTTGAACCCGCTCTCTGGGGTTCAGCTTCTTAATTTCCAGTCAGACCACCCATAGTGCACGGTACGGGGAGGAAATGAGATGGTGATTCCCCATGCTTAGAAAGGGCCTTGTGAAATGCATGCCCGGTCCATTAACTTGGCCATGTCATTTCCGTGCTCTCGAATCCACCTTTCTAAAGTCTTCCTTGTGTACTCAAGCCCTTTTAGTCGCTCCTCCTTATGGACTCATTGTCGGCCGCCCAGCCTCATCCTATGCATTGCACTGAATTTGGCTCACAGTCAAGTTCGTACATTCCGGCTCATTCTGCTCTTCTGCTTCGGGTACTCCCTGTGACCTTTGACCGGTGGCAGCATGGCTATTTCCCGAAGCTCAGCCCAGCTGACCTTTCCCCTCTCCACCTTGGTGACTGTGCACACTTTTACCTCAACAGTGCCTGTGGTGTGAGCCCATGAGTCACCAGGAACCATGCCCTCCCCCGAACTGTCTGTCCGTACTCAAGACAGCTTACATGTCTTATCTCACTTGGTGGCAAACTCCTTGAGAGCAGTGATCCTGTTTATGTGACTATTGCATCACACAGCACCAGTCACCATCCTGCGTACAGTTCACTCCCGTCAAGTGTTTTCTTAGTGTTGAATATGGAATAGGCTCTGGGGGCCATGTGTGAAATGTTTGTTCTCTGGTGGCAAGGGGATTTTGAGATGTGCTAGAAACTGAAAAGGTAGCGCCTAGCTGGAGGGATTAGGTCACTGGGCGAAGGGCCTGGGGGTATGTTATCCCTGAGCCACTGTCCTTCCCTGCTTCCTGTCTGTCATGAGCTGAAAGGTCTTCCTCAGCCACAAGCTCCAGACACCATGGCGTTCTGCCTCATAAGAAGCCCTGAAACAAGGAGCCCAAGTCAATGGTACTTCCATCAGGTTGTTTCTGTTGGTCATTTGGTTGCGGTGACCATAATTAATACACATTCCAACAGTATAAATGGTATAAATGATACGGGAAACAATTATGTTTAGTGCTAAAAGGTAGTGCCTCCTGATTTTTGCGCTAGTCACCGAAATTACTGTAACGGGCCTCATGAGAAGTTTGCCACTGTCTTAGCTCTTCCAGGAGAAATACAAATGCTAATACAGCGGTGGCGGCTGCGGCACAGAGGTGAGCTCTCGAGAGAGGGTGGGCTCCCGTTCTTCGAGGACACTATGATTTTCAAAGAAGCGGGGCAGTCCATTTTTCTAGCCCGGAGCCCAGTTGCCTAGATTCTAAGATACATGGCCGATGAATGAGGGACAACGTTCTGAAGCCTTAACCTGAGGATCCTCCTGGCAGCTGGGAAGAATCGGTCCTTCCTGTCCTGCAGTAATGTGAGCGTGGCTGCTCTCTGTCAAGGGCCGGAATGGAAGCAAAACAATAAAATAGCACAGTCACGAGAGCGACGCGGGAACCGAGCCTGCCATGATGCTCCGCTCTCTCTCTCCGTGACCGTCGATCTCCAACTCGGCGCGGAACCTGTTCCAGGTTCACCCACAGTGTGGATGACGTGCGGCTACACACCAAGGCACTTGGCTAAAGGAGGCATTTTATAAACCATTCCGAGTGAGTGGCTGACTACGCGTCCGCTATGAAAACGAAAAGACTTCACTCCTTGGTAAGCCAGTCGAGTGGGTTGCGACACAGATAGTCAATGTTTTGAGTTTAGCAGAACTTAGTAAACACAGAAGACTTGAAAGGCTGCCTTTGAAAAGAAGCCAAGGGGACCCTAAGCTTTGAAGATAGATTGTCAATGTTAGCCGGGCATTCTCTGGTCTTTTAGCTGCAGTCTTGAAAGTAGGGGAAGGCAGGTGGGGCATGCTTCCCCTGGGCTGATCCCACCAAGCGGTACTAGAGTTCTAAACTAACCGGGTAAATATTTTGAGGGACCATTGCTGCATTTGGGG